TTGTGGCAGTTCTGTAATTGTACTTGGTATGGTGCTGCTCCTCTTCAACAGGAGAATAAACTGAAAATCTCTTAGTTTATCTGAAAAGTATGCTTAAACGTCTAGTGAAATAACTTCCCAGCTAGTGCATGGTTCATGTTTAAAATACACACAGTATTTTTATTGTGAGATGCAGTGACGCAATTTGTACACCAACAACTTCATGTCTTAAGTGTTTTGTATGCAAAGCATAACATGAATTTCTTATGTGGAATAACTTAGTTTACTTGGATGAATTAAAGGTGATCACTTTTCACATGCCCTTGAGACAACTGCTACAGAGACTGAAATATTTAAACAGTTTCTTAAACTGCAGACTCCAGAAAGACATGTTCTTGTGAATCTTGCTCTCAAAGGCAGGAGTGGGTGTGTGAATCCATGTCCATTCTGTGATCTTTAGCATACAGACTTAAGCAGAGGAGTTTCCTTCTACCTGCTTCTCTTTCTGCCAGGCTGCTTGTTTACACAGTACCTTTTGTTGTCTGTCACTCTTAGCACTTGTTATTGCTGGTCGAGTTCAGCTGAACTGAAGTAAAATACTCCAGAGAGAAAAGTGATGTACCAAGAGATGGATATTAATAAAACTCCCTTACTAGAAAATCCTAGGCTGAAAACATAACTGCTCTCTTGCACTCTTGCTTTCATGTTTGTACCTAAGGTTAAGGCAGTGTATTGGGTATTAAAATACTCCCTAATTCAGACTTTTAGGTTAGGAATGTGTATACGCTCCTTGCCCATTTGAGAGGTATGTGTAAATTTACAATCTAGCTCTGAAAATATAGTCTCACGTCCAAGATGGTATATCAGGCTTGCAGCAAGAAATTGCCTTTTGCACAGCTGACAACAAGAGTTGAGAATCATTTGTTTTCTCCAAAACACGCAAGAAGTATGGGGAATCATTGTAAACAATTAATTCATTCTGAGTGTTGTGCTGATGGACATAAAGTGAAACAAAGAGTAAATGGAAGAATTAATTTTTTTCCCATATTAGTATTATTTTTTTCATATTGTTATGATTTCCATATTAGTGCCTTCACTGAACCAATTGGAGGAAAATGCCCTGCAGATTGAATTATTCTGTTTGATACATTGGTACTGTTTCTCTTTCAGATGAAGTGGACTACAGCAATTTTGGGACCAATACGCTGTCGAGGAAGAAGAAGGCTCTGGTGACACTGCGCAATGACAACCTCCGCCGGCGTCCCCACATCAACATTAGCATGCCTCATGATTTTAGACCAGTGTCTTCCATAATCGATGTGGACATTCTCCCCGAAACACACCGGAGAGTGAGGCTGTACCGGCACGGCTGTGAGAAACCCTTGGGATTTTACATTCGCGATGGCACCAGCGTAAGGGTGACTCCTCACGGACTGGAGAAAGTGCCCGGTATCTTCATCTCCCGTATGGTTCCTGGGGGCTTGGCAGAGAGCACGGGCTTGCTGGCTGTGAATGATGAAGTCCTGGAAGTTAATGGCATTGAAGTAGCAGGAAAGACTCTTGACCAAGTCACAGACATGATGATTGCCAACAGCCATAATCTCATTATCACGGTCAAGCCAGCCAACCAGAGGAACAATATTATTCGGAGCAGTAGGATGTCTGGTAGCTCTGGCCAGTCTACAGACAGCACTGCGAGTCACCATAGCTTGCCTACATCTCACGTGCTGCAGAACTTCCACCCTGATGAAATGGAGAGTGACGAAGAGGCTGACATTGTCATCGAGGGTGGTCTGGAGCCACAGCACATTCCAAAACTGCACAGCCTTACTTCCAGTAGCCTCTCTCGAATCAATGGCAGCAGCCTTAGCCACAGACTTCAAAGGGACCTGGTGCTCAACAACAACTCTGGCCGAGAAAGCAATGGCAACATCCACAAATTGCTCAGTTCCTTAAAAACTGATCCCCGACACAGTCTGGTTATCCCCAGAGGAGGTATCGAGGAGGACGGAACAGTCATTACACTTTAGTAGAAATTTCTGCAATTCTTCTTACAGTCTTAAGTGCCAATTGGGACAATCGGCTCGTGCAACACGTGCACAAAACAGGGAGCTAATATTGTCACAGACCTCACGGGTGCAGAAAATTGTTGCGTTCTAGGAAACGTGGCATCTGGAGTTAGACATAAAACTGTCATGCACTGCAAAATTTGTCAGGAGAAAGCCAGAGTGCAAAACCTGGTTTATGTCCCAGCCCTGAAGTGAGAACACAAATTTGTTTTAGTTGGTATAAACCTAAGCAGTCTTACAGGCTACCCATAGCAGTGTTATATACTTGGGTTTGAAAGCATGGGTAGATGTATTTATACATGCATGTATGTGAATTAGATTTTAATAGTAACAGGTATGTCTGTTTGAAGTGGAACCTGGTTTTCTTCTAATACCAGCTGAGGGGAGAGAGTGCTTCTTAATAGCCATCCCATCTTCTGTTACGTACAGCCCTTCCGCCGACTTGTTTACACCGTATTCTCAGCGTTATGTCTAATCCAGACGAGCTCTGTAAAAGCAGCCGTTTCCTATTGCGGTGGTAGCAGCGTTCGGGAGACGCTGCAGACACATTTTCCAAAGGAAACGACAGAAATCCATATCCATGTAAACCCGCGCGTTTCCCGCGGCTGCCGGGCCGTAGGCGCCACCTGCCGGCCGGCGGGGGCAGCGCCGCTGCCGCCTTGTATTCTCTTACCATATTTATTAGATAATACCTCCTTTTTTTGGTTGTTTTTTGTTTGTTTTTTTTTTTTTCCTTCCCCACATCATCTCTGTTTTTTCAAAATCATGACTCGTGTGAGTTTTTAGGCGTGCAAGCCTCAGAGCTGACACAGTACCTTTGGGGCAACCCGAATCCACAAGGTCTTTCCTTGACAAGGGATTGCCCTACGGAGGGGAGGGGTGCTGACTGACTCTCAAGCCTAACTTAGAATAGTTCTGTTATTTTTGGACTCCTCCAGTAATAAAGCTTAATGTCTACACAAGACTTCTAGAAAGTTAAAATATACTGGATATTTGTGAAGGTCAGACACCTTTGCTGAGTGGCCAGGTGGCTAGTGAGTGACCAGTGACTGTTGAGTCAGTACCCTTCTGGAAACACCATGAGTTTTATGAAAGTGATCTAATCTAAAATATTTTGTTATATCTTGATCAGTGTAAGGAACAAAATATAAATGTTTTAAAATGTATTTTTCTACTTTTAGCTTGTGTCATTTGCTCTTTGTTTTTAACTTTGTAGTACATTAAAGCTTTTTTTATATGGTGGAATAGACATTTCTTAAATATTTTATGAATATGAAAATTCAGGAGTCTTGGTTTGGAAAAATTGCATTCAGTTTTGGAATCTGTAATGGCTGGAAAAAGGATGTGTGGACTAATTAATTGTCGCTAATTTAGAATACCTGTGGAACAACCAGTCTTCTGCTCATGGTTAAATATCTTTGGGACATTGAACTTAGTTTATTTCTTTTAGATTTGTTTTAAGAGTTTATTTTAAAAGTCTTTTACTTACTCTAATTAAAACTTTTCTAGGTATCAAAGCAGCTATAGAGCTGTGCTTATTTTTCCCAGCACAGTAAGAATAGAACATTGATCCTGTTCGTCTTAAAACTGTGTTTGTACTTTACCAAAGGTTTTTATTAAAAAAAAAGTCTGATTATTGGTGCAGTAAAAAAAAAAATGAATAGCTGGATATGCTTCAGTCAATCAGACCGTCTTATCTGGAAAAATTTGTTACACCTTAAATAAGACTACTTTTATGAATAAGTGGATTTGTCTGGCTGAAGTTACTCATTTTACTTTAGTTAACTGATGAAAATGTGACCTTGTCTGCAATAAAATGTTCACTGTCTTACTTCTACTCTGTATTTTTTCCCTGTGCCTCAAGCATTTTATGTGGAAGCATCTCCCCTCCCTATGAAAACAAGGTATCCGGTTTGGGTGGCTCTTCAAGTATGGAACCATTTCAGTGCAGTGTTTTTTCTCAGTGCTGCTTTTACTAAAAGTTCCTCTTGTGATTTCCATGGGAACCAAATAGATTCCTACTCTCCTGACAGCATGGCCTGCTGCAGACCTCCGGGCTTTGAGGGGTAATTCTGGCTCCTTGGGAAAAGGCCAGGATACCTGTGACGGCCACTCTTCACCCCTTCGGCCACTCTTCACCCCTTTGTCTGCTGGCTGTCACTATCCACAGAAAGCGTTCCAGTACAATCTATCCAATTTTTTCCACCCCATTCATCGGGGAAGGGAGGAAGCGTAAGTTGTTTCACGCACATGTACAAATTACAAACTGAGAACAGCCAGCTGTTGATGTGTCGGCCTTGGGTCCAGCACTTGGTGAAATAACTTTTAAGGCTTGCAAACATTTTGAGCAGCATCCTCGTGGGGAAAATAAACAAACACACACAGAACCCAGCTTCTATTTTGAGTGCCCTGTAACCACAAGTGAAGACATGTTGTACAGTGTCCACTCCCAGGGAGCTCCCTTCCCAGCTCAGGCCATAACGAGAGGAATCTGTGTGGAAACGCGGCCGAGCCGCTCGGCTTTCACAGGCGGGGCCCCTTCGGCTGTGGAGTTCAATTGCTGCTGAGCGGGGCTCTGAGGGTGTGTGGCTGAGGCAGCAGCGGCACGCCAGCCCTCGCTAAAGGCCACATCCTCCACAAACTCCTGCAGCCAGACCCGCGTTCCTGTACCAGAGCGCGGCAGGGCCTGCTCGGAGCCGGCGGACCCAGGCGCGATTCCCTGCCGGGGCATCAGCGGCGGGGCTGGACGGGTGGCTGCAGGCACCGGGAGCTGAAGCCCCTCCCCGCGGGATCCCCGGGCCGGGACCCGGGGCCGGGCCGCTCCCGCCCCGCCCGCTCCCAGCGCCGGGACCCGGGGCCGGGCCGATCCCGCCCCGCCTGCCGGGAGCGCGGCTGCGCCGGCCCGCCCGGTCATGTGAGGGGCGGTGCATGCCGGCGGGAGCGGGCGGTGGGATGGCGGCGGCCGCCGGTGCGGGGGAGCGGGGTGGAGCCGAGCTGCCGGATGGCGGCCCCGGCGCGGACAGCGGGAACGTGTCCCAGAGCCAGAGCAGAGCCTCCGGCCTCGGGGAGGCGGAGGACGAGGACGCCTCGGAGGCGTCGCTCAGCGCCACCGCCGCCGCCTACTCCGCGTACCTGCTCGCCGACCGCAGCCTCTTCAGCGAGCAGGTGGGCGAGGGCCGGGCCGGGGCTCCCGCACAGCCCCCGGGCACAGCGGTGACATGGGAGCGCTGTCATGGGAGCTGGACACGCTCCCAGGCTGGGAGCAGGACAGGACCTGCCGGGGGTCGCGTTCCTCTCTCTGAACGAAGCAGAGAGAGGGAAAAGCCGTGGGATTCCTGTGGGACTGGCTGTAGTCTGACCGGTGTCTGTACTCAGTGGTCTTGTTTGTGAGACCGGCTGGGGTTTTGTGAATGTGTGTATGTGTGTTTTCAAGCACTTTTAAGTGACCTCTGTTTTGCAGATAGAAAGCTTAGACAAGAGTCTAGAAGATTTACTGACCAGGGTGGATGAATTCGTGGGAATGCTGGACATGGTATGTGTAACTTGCACGTGGTTGTGTCGGATTAAACACAGTTAATCGGTGTTTGTAAGTAAGAAACAGAGGTAAAGAAGCCTTGAGTCTAGGCAGGTTCCAGTATGAAAACACATTTGATAATTAGGTGACTTATTTTGGTAATCAGGTAACTCATGGATGAAAACTACCAGACTTTCATGTCAGCATAAAATGTGTACATATAGCTATAGAATCATAGCATCATATAGAACTTCTTAGGTTGGAAAATACCTGTAAGATCATCATATCCAGCACTGTCATATTCACCCCTAAACCATGTCCTAGAGTGCCACATCTTCTAAATACTTCCACGGTATTTAGACTCCACCACTTCCCTGGGAAGACTGCTTCAATGCTTGACAACACTTTCAGTGAAAAAATTTTCCTAACTGCATATGTGTGTAGTTGTATTTGTATTCTTGTCTATATATGCACAGAATCCCATTTTGAATGGTGCAGTGACAGAGGTTTAAAAGAGCAGTATGATATTCTGCTTATCCTTTAAAATACATAAAGATATCCTTTGTTGGTTTTATAATGAAAGTATTTAATCAGAGTTGCCAAAACACCAGAGCTAGATTTGTCTTTAGGGGACCCTCTTTTCAGAAAGGCAGCTTTGTTTTCACTTTTCTCATAGGGTTAGATGGGGGAGCTAAATGGAAAGTTCCTGTAAGCTGACATTGGTAGATAGGTTGTCTTTTAAAGTGTAGCACAGATGGTTCTCCTGCACAACTCTATTGTAGGTTTGGGGTTCTCTTTTAATACCAGTAAACTAAGATTTTTGTGGCCTGACTTTTTTAACAAACCTGAGGAAAATACAGGTAGTAAAACTTAAGACAAAATTTTAACTTAATATATTTAATTCTTTAGTGTGTCTTAGAAAATGTTCCATTTCAGTTCAGAAGAGATTGTATTAGCCTATTTTTAATATAAGTATAAAGGTAAATATTAGTCTCTGTAAAATACATTTTCTTCAGAGTTACTTAGAAACTATACAAAAAAGCTGTAGTGTATTGATTTTAATCTAGTGTTTTTATACTAATTTATTCCCATATTTTTAAACTCTAAAATTTTAGTCTTGGAGCACAGTTCTAGTTTCCAGAATAAAATCTACTAAACATTTTGTTCATTAATTGATTTTTATATTATTTCTTTGCATTGTCTTTAGATTCGAAGTGATTCCTCTCAGCTTGTCAATGAAAGTATACCTCAAATTTACACAAAAGCTACAGAAATGAGGCAGATATATAGGAAGATTGACAAACTAGAGGTATGTATTTGCTGTCTTCTAGGTGCATTTTGTTTCCTAAAAGAGAGAAAGATCAATGTCTGCATATTTGTGTGTGTATGTGCACACATGTGGAGTGAGTTTAGGTGACTTGTGCTTTCCATGTCCATGCTGGGTTCAATGCTTCAGGATTAATAAAGAGGACTGACACATTTATGAAGAATTCCTGGAGGCTGTGGGAATTCCAGACATGTATTAGATATTTTTTAGAATATTAAAAAAAAAAAAAAAAATTGTTCATTGACTTTTTTAAGCAAGGTAGCTTTTTGGTGTTTGCTTTCAAAGTTTCAGAAACAAATAGCCTGAGAAATCTCTTGATCCCTAATAAAGCTTCAAAACAATGGCTTAGATCCTTGGTTTTTATTTTGGTAGTAGAAAGGCGGGTAGAAGTCTAGTTTCTGAAAAATCCAAGTTAGTTATTTAAAAGCTTAATTGGAAAAGGAAGATTATTTTATTAGATTTAACCTGGTTTTCAGCCTTTTAAGTATCTCGGGTAATTTCTAGCATTAAAATGGACTTGTAGGCAAAAGGGAAATAGAACATGAAGTTTTTGAGTCCTCATTTAAGCAATGGATCTTTCACTGCTGTTCTGCAATATATAATCTTGTTTTGTTAGTGAAAATGTGATATTTATTTTGGGATCTTTTTTCACACTAGGCTTTTGTGAAAATGATTGGGAATAGAGTAGCTGGACTGGAAGAACGAGTCATAAAGGCAGAAACAGACCTTGGAGCTTTTCCAAGCACATTCAAGAAAATCTTGCACACAATCAGCATACCATCCTTCCTTAATGTAAGTAAAGTTTTTTTGCTGCCATGTGACCAGCTTAGTTGTTCTGCTTACTAGAGCAGATGATTAAAGTAATAATAAGTTTGTTACACATATATCTTAATGTAGCTGTTCGTTTTTATATACTTTATTAGGATTTTTACAAAGTTCTCAGGCTTCTTTTAAAAAAAAAGGAAACAACCAAACTTACACAAATTCTTGTAAGAAATTATATTTTTAATGTTACAAAACAAGGCCGAGCACACAAAGAAATGAACGTGAAGGACACAAACAAGCACATAATGCACAAACCTTTCTACTAAAGCACCCTTGATCTCTGGTGGTATGCAAAGCAAGTAGGAAGAGCCTGTACGTGCAACACTGCTAAAGGATCTTTCTGTATTGATAACACTAATGCTAGCACTAATGTTACCAAAAAAGAAAATGAAAGCTAATCTGCACAGTACTTTAAAAATAAAGGTCGTGTTTATATTCAATCCACACAATTGGATAATCATGCTACTACCTTGGTAAACTTTCCGAGCATGCAGTTTTCTCTGTCTTTCCTTGTGGACTGTTCCATTACAAAAGACTTGAAGTGCTATTTCTGGTATATTTCAGAGATGCCTTACTGAACTGTCATTGTGCCTCGGGTTTAAAATTGTATTTAAAATTTTTTCAACCTTTTGTTAAAAAAAGAGAAATCATCTGGATACCTGATGCTTCTTGACATCACCTGTCAGTACACCATTTATAAGTTCTACTCTTTTGCATCTTGCCAGCTCACAGATTGTTTTATCTTTTTGTATATTCATCCTGTACTAACTCAATTTTCTAACTCAGTTTTCTGTATTCTGGTAAGAATGCTGAAAAAAGCTTTGTAGAGGGGGAGAGGAAGAAGATTGCTCTTCGAGGTATTTTTGTTCGTACATCTTCCAAGCATGTATGGCAGCAGAGAAAAATACATATAACAAGAATATGTGTTGTCTTCTTAAGGCTCAGTTCAAAGAACTTGTTCTTCACTGCCCTTTATTGTGCAGTCTTTAAGTTAGTCAATTTCTCATCTCATTCCTTCATTTTCCTTGGTGTTTAGGTTTAGAATTCTGTTATTTTTTCTTTAAAAAAAAAACTAAAAGCAGCCCAAAGCTGCACTTTATGGGCCAGTTACAAAACTACAAAACTGCACAAGTTGCCTTGAAGAATACCTAACAGTATTTTCCATTTTTTCTATAAATAGTTATCAACCAAGGAATTGCAATCTTCACTTGAAAAGTTTCATAGTTCTAAGGAAGTACTTCTTTTTTAGTGTTGTATGGGAACACTTTATCAAATTGACACTTCCTCTATAATTTAAAAGGTAGAAGATCTTTGCAAGTGTCAGGAAGGTGAACCTGGCATCTCCAGTGGTTTCTTAGTTTGATTATGGATAGCAAAAAATTTAACACTCAGAACTTACTGGCATTGTTTGATTCACTAAAAAGTAGGTTACAGTTCCATGGGTATAACATAGTAAAATACCTACTTTCAGTAGTAAATACAAGCATATGTGAATGAAAATGCCTGTAGGGATTTCTCCCCATGCCTGTTATTTAACTAGCTCAATACATCAATGGTAAAACACATGGTTTGGAAAAGAAGATTATTCTGATGTCATGATTTTAACTGTAGCTGTAGTTCATGTTTTACTGCTAATTTTAATTTACTCAGGTTCCCTCATTCTCTTCCCATTTAAATGTATCTGTTTCTTTATACAAAGGCTGTATTTTCTGTTTCTCAAGGTATGTGTTTATAATCTCCCTTTCAGATTTTGCTCAAAGTTCTTCCCATGTGAATATCAGGCAGTGTAAAGAATAGTACTATAAGACTTCTAATATTGCCAAGTATGTAGACTCTCAAAAGGTAAAAATGGCTACTAAGCAGCCGCAAAATAACTAATCATAAATGTGTGCTTAGGCAATTGTGGGTACTGTGCCTGCCTACAAATTTCCTCACTGGTTTGGAACTACTCCCTTCTTACACAGAGGCAAATACAGCACCTCTTAAATCAGTGTCAGGAATAGCAGAAAACCTGTGACCTTAGTTTCCCATGCTTGCAGGTTGTTATCTGATAGGACAGTATAGAGTAGGAAATTATTTTAAAAATCAGGACTTTCATTTTGAAGGTTGCTTTTCATTTGGCAAAATTTGTGATACAGAGAACACTGATAATATACACTGTTCATAGATCAGATCTTTGTTTATATTTTTGAATTTCATTGCAACTTGAATGGCAAAACAAAGTTAGAGAAATTAATGTTATTGTAAAGTTAAAGATGTAATTTAATGTGTACAGCTCAACTGAATATTAAGACATTTCCACTTTGTTTTGTAGGTATAGTTACTTATGTCTTCATTTTGGTGCCATAAAACCATTCTGAACTCCAAGGCTACCAATGATATTTGGTATACTTTTAACTATCTTATTGGTGAAGGCTAATTTCCTGATTCCAAACTGACAGGGCTCTACAAAATAGTTCATCAAAATCTTTTTTATTAGTTGAAAAGAACTTTTAATGAATGAAGTCTTGATTTGAAGTATTCTATTTAATGTTGGGTCTTGAAAACACACCCTGTGTCTGTGTTGTGTTGCAGCGTTATTTACACGCAGCAAGGCTGACGCTAATATTAGTAGTCACTAGTGGCCCTTGATATTGTCTCTTCAATTTGATACAGCAAAACAATGTACAGTTAGTGTTTAAAAGAAACATGTATACCTTTCCTGAAGAACAGTGTAACAGCTCTTTTCCAGTCCACTCCCAGAATATTTTTAACAGTGTATCCTATGAAGAAGCTCAGCAGGAGCATCAAACATCTTGAAAGAATAGTTTGCTAGGTATGTTTCCATTGGAAGACTTTTAAAGTAACTAAATGAGATCCCAGGCCCAGAGTTAACTCAAAAGAAGCTGCTGAGGAGAATTTGAAGGCTGGAGCAGAAAAGGTAAAGGTGTATGGCTTGGGAAGGATGATGATTCTCCCATCAGCTGGATGGTGCAGTTTGGCTCCTGCAGTGCTGGCATATCATACATGTTCCAGGATTGGCTCTGTTTAGGTGCTGGAAGGGCAAAGATCAAAGGCTGCATTTCTTCACTAACGTTACCAGACTCATCTGAGCTATGATTAAGAATTCATTCAACTAAGGAGGTACACCTTAGAAACTTCCCTTATTTTGCATTTTAGCTCTGCAGGCATTATTTTAATATGCTTTGTGAAAAAGCTGAAAAATAAACTTATCTAATTTGCAGAAATCGTCTTCCTCACGACAGCAGCAGACCCTCTATGAACCTCCAGTCCTCTTCAAGACTGAAGACTACTTTCCATGTCTTAATGAAGCACCTTATTGATGATTTTTGCTTTGGGATTGATATGAATCAGCCAGAATAGAGAGAGCCAAGTGAACAAAAGGAATGCAACCTCAGAACAGCTGCATTTTCTAGGCACTATTGATGGCATATTGCCATTCTGATTCTCATTGTCTTCCTTCAGGCAATATTTTCAGGTAATCTTTATTTGTGCACATTATTTCAAAAGCCTTCCTAAAACACCGTGTAGGTTTTCAGATTATTTTGGGGGAGGAATTTAAGAATATTTTTGCATTACATTTTTTTAATATGGAAATAACAGGAAACATACCATTGTAAATAAGTTTTTTAACACATAAATATCTGTGCTGCTGCAAGTGTAAATAGCTATACCACAAGGATAGGGATTTGCCTTTTTTCATAATGTGCTGATTGAGGTGAAAGAAAAACTATGCATAAAATCATCTATTCCAAGGTTTTAAGCCTGGTCCCTGCAGTTTGTACAGAGAAATGCACCACATTGGGATGTACTTGTTGCAGGGGCAGGACTTGGAAGATCATCGAGGAATCAAGGACATGGCTCAATGCATGTGATGTAGTCCCCAGTCACAAAGCAAGCACCCTGTCCCACTGATGATCCTCAGCTCACAGTGACCCAAGCTTTTAATTATTGCATCATTGTATTGTTTGATGTGTAACCAGGTGGGCATGAAACAGATTTTTATATATAAAGAGATATATAGATGTATAAAACCTCTATCTAAGTTGAGGGAGGGATGTTGACCCTGGACTGAACCTCGATTGTACCTGACTAGATTGAATTTCCGTCACAACTCTCTGTGATTACTGAGGCTTCCTGTGCTGATTGCAGTTTATATTATCAATAAACTAATAGCTGGCTAACCCCTGTTGTGGTCTTGAATTTCACTGGACAGTATTGACCCACCTTGTAGGTATTAGTCATAAATTGATGTATTCCTCTGAACTAGTTTGTCCAGTGCCCTACTGCCAATGTAACTCACAAGAAATACTCAAAATTCAAGTTCAAAAGGAATGCTTTAGAGAAACAATATTTCTCTAGATTTAATGTTGCAGCACAAAACAGGTATGGAGTTGCAGAGCAGAAATTATATATTGATGGATCCTGTCTCCAAAGACCAGCAGGGATTGGGTTCTAAACATCTTCAGGATCTGAAGATTATTAAAAATTAAAACGAAGATTTTTCAAGTCAGAGTAATTAGGCTCCAAAAGCAGTTCTGATGTAAAACTTCCCTGAATTGTAACATCAAGACTCTAGAATAATAATCACAATATAAACAATGCAGAAAGAAACAGACATTACTTTGAAGAAGGGCTCCCCTCCCATCCTCCTTGCTTTCCTAAGTAATTTATTATTCACATGTTCCACTGGAGCAAAGTTGCATTTCTAAAAGGGGTGGTGCCTTTCAGTGTATGCATAAATAATACTTGAAGGTTTATCCCTCCTCAGTTGTATCTAACAAAATTACATACTTAGTGTAGCAACATAAGGCTAGTCAAATACTCTCAAACATACTAACACTGGTATGAAAAAAAAGTTATCTTTAGAACAACTTTCTAATTAAATGTATCACCTTCTCAAATAACTTTGCCCGCTGCTGTGTGGAGCCAAAATGCAGTTTCTTTTAAACAGATGATGTTTGAAAAATTAATAAAGATCTCAGCAAGTTTATACAGCTGAGTATTTTTCACACAATATTGTTCATAATAATAAGAGTGAAAATTCATATATTCTGAAGTGTTGTATGAAAAAGAAAGAGCTGTATCTTCAAGGCACACCAAAACCAAAAATCATACAGTTCCTTTAATTGGTATAGTTCTGTGTTGGAAATTCTCCAAAGTATTTTTACTATTGAAAATAATGAACAATACATGGAAAAATTTTAAAGGAAATGCTATAAAAGTACAGACAATAAAAAAATGGTGGCTTTTAGAAATACATGGTACAAAATACCAAGGTCACAGTTCATCTGCTAGGAAATAAGGCTCATGTTCATGAATTAAGGCATTCTCATAATACTGACAATGGCCTCTGCTGTTGGTTTGTTTGCACCTTGGCTGTCTCCTTATTCATCGTCAGTCTTGCCACTCAGGAATAGCGTGAAAAAACATCCCAGGTGTTCACACTCATAAAGAAAGACTCAAAATATTCCTTTATTCTGTCTGCTGTTAGCTTGTATTAGTATAAAACTAGTAATAACTATATTATGAATTAGGTTCAATATTTACTAGGTTTGTCAGCTGTAAACAAAATCTGAATCTCAAAATCCACTGATACTAATATTAACAGCCCCAGAAGGCTGTACTTGCATCTTTCCCTACACGTTTGTCCTCTTGCCTGAGTTCCAAGATACAAGCCAGTAACTAAGGGGCTACATCACCTGTTTTTAATATAGAGAGCACTTCATCTAGAACTGGTGTAAAGCAGTATGTGATTGCTATGCCGAGCTACTGAAGGTTGGGTATCAGGCACATGAAATGAGCTAATGTTTGATATCAACAAAGGAGTCTATGTTGAAATCTTACTTTTTTTCTATGTCATTGAACAAATTACTTTTAGCAAAAGTAATGCTAAAAATTTTTACATTCTTATAGTTCTGTACATTTTAGGCCAATGTTAATTAGCATTAGCCTAATGCTAATGAAAACTAATGCTGCAGCTTTCTAAAAATTACCTGTTTGGTGTACAGTGTATGTCAGTATGTCACAAGGAAGCTCCATTCACAAGGTATGCACAGTGGGGTCATATCACATGCTGGTTGGACTGAATGTTAGAGGTCTACACTTTTCAAAAATCAGCATGATCTATCTTACATAGATATTTAGTTACATGATAAACTGTGGCTGAGGTCAGCACATAAAGATTGATATTTGTATTCCATTTTTTTTGGACTGTCATGTTCTGTTCCAGTCGAGCAGTGCTGCTGCAACTGCAGTAAAGCCAAAAGAAATTACAGAAGGTTGCAATGACTGAAATGAAAAGAAACGGGTTTGATGGTTTATCTGATCAAATAAGATAAATTGCTTAAAGATGCACTGGGTTGCATTGACCTCAAAACCTGTGGCATTTCATTACTTCTGCTGACAATAGCCTTCAGGGTTAAGTAGTTTTACCTGCGATACTAAGAATTAAGTAGCACTCTAAAGCTGTAAGGAGTGATCCTGAGTGAAAGACCTCCCAGAATGAGAAGGAAGAGCAAGAGCACCTTCATCTGTGAAAAGAACTTCATATTTGGAATTGGTAAATAATGTTCCTGTAAAAAAAAAAGGGAATAATTTAAAAAAGGAAAATGTTTCTTCAGTGATTACTTTTTTAAACTCTCTCACATTTCGTAGAAAAGAGATCTAGTCCTGTACCAGCTACCAAGAAAATCCTTGAAAAATCAAAATTCCTATTAGTCAGCTATAGCTATGGTCGAAGTTGGTATCTTTCTAGCCACTGCAGCTAAATCCATCAGGGCTGAGGATTCCAGCTGCTGGGATTCACATCCCTATAGGAGCTGAGCTGCAGTGGCAGAGCAGAGGCTTTGTCCACTCAGCTGCTTTTGTTGATTCTGCTTCAAGCCGGTGGGTGGTAGTACAACCTAAAGATGGTAGTACAGACTCCAGCTGATTCAGAGATTTTGGGAGTTTTCTTGACTTTCTTGCTTGGTGTTATCTACTCACAAAGTCTTTCAATGCTGGTCGTTTTTTATGATTTTGAAAAACTGTAAGGGGTATGTGAATGGTGCAGGATGTCTTAAAAGTGCTAAGGAACAAGCAAAACAGAAAACAAGGGGACAAAAGGTGTTGTTTGTGGGCGGTACAGTATAATGCCAGGGAGACAAAATGCAATCACCTATAGAGTGTGAAAAGGAAAAATTGAAATAATGCCTTTGGAATTATGTCAGACTAAAGGATACGGTAGGGAAACTGAAATATCCTGTCTAAATTCCACATGGAAGAATCAAAACAATATTTCATTTTTGTCAACTTTAATATTGGCTGTACATTCTTTGGTGGACTATTAAAGTAATAAAAAATACATTAAATTTGCATTAATAATAATTCCAGTGTGCTATCTATAGGGGATCTCAAATAGTGTATTTTAAAAGTATGTTGAAAATACAGATATATGAATGTGCTGACAGACCTAAGAAAATTAACTGAATGTTAGCAAGGATTTCATCAGAGAGTTCTGAGTGAAAAGACAAAGGGACAGAATTCATGGGGGGAAAGTGAACTCACTGAGAAAAAAGGATAAGTATCCAATTTCTCCCACCGTTTCAGAAGCTGTAGCTTTCATGAGAATAGCTCAATGCCTATATTATTTAAAAATAAATTAATTGCCATCTGTTCCTTACAGGTGACACTGTCAAGAGTTTCTTTACAAGCAAGAGGTCTAGAAAGCAACTTTTGAGAAAAAACAAAAGCAGAAATTTCCACAATTCTAGGACATTAAAACTGAGGACTGGCACTAAATAAAAAGTTAAAAAAGAAATGGTAAGAGCCTTATGCAGGAATGGAAGAGGCAGAAAATAGCATAGCCAGGAGATAAGCCAGGGCACCTGCCAAGGTGTGAACTTGTGGTGACAGGGCTGTGAGCAGCATCAAACGAGGGCAAGATCCCTGAACTGGGAGGTATGACTGGAGATCCAAAACAGACATGATATATGTATTTATATGTGCAGTTGTTAGTTTTTCACAGTTTAAGAGCTTTATTTCTTTTTTCCCTCCAGTGTGCACTATTCCCATGTACATAGTTTTAGGAGGAGCTATAACTGTACTAAAGCTGTGGACCAGTTCTAGTAGATGTGTCTGGACCAGGCTGCTGTTACTGCCTCTGGTTACAGTCTCTTTCTCAAAAGCAGTAGGATTTGCAGGTAGCTGGCCAGGCTATTGAACTGTTCTGGCTTAAAATCAGTCCTGCCAAACATTCCAGTCCCAGCACTGAAGTCCTGGCACAAGGGTGAGGGGTGATACTCCTCTACTCCCAGCCACCTCCCTGAGAATGCAAGCAAAGCATTTTCCCTGGCAGTGTCTCCCCATGTGCAGCTGGGGAGATGCCTGCTGTGGAATTAACATCTGTTTCCTTTGTGTTTCTTTGATTAGCCCTTTTCTCTACAGGGATGGCTTTGCAATTTAATTGGAAACACAGAGGGAAAGAAGAACAGGAAAGAAATAAGGTATTGGAAATAACCTTCTTGTTGTCATTACAGAGATGTTTGTGTGTCCTGCTCAGATGTCTGCTTCCAGCAATATTTTATCAACTAAAATCTGATGATTCATTTGCTAGTCATGAGTAGTGCCCTTATTCCTGGTATCAGAGGTTCCTGGGAGCTTTTCTGGAAGTGTGCCTGCTGCATCTAAAATTTAGTGTATTATTAAGCAAAATAATATTTGTGAGGAAAAATACTGAACAATATAATTGAACACAAATTGTATTTTCTTTCTGGATTTATTAGCTTGACTTCTCCTGAATTTAATTGTGTTTCTGTAGTTGAAGGACAACACGAAGCAGTAATGCCAGAGGAATCTTGCCTAAGGAAAATCAAGTATGATATTGTTAGCTAACAAGGTAGATGAGCGGTGCCATTGCAAACTCATTACATGTACCAGTGAGATAAGTCAAGATTCTGCCAAGTGAGTTAGATGAAATTATGAGGACACAGAGTCTAATAAAAAGAGGTCAGCAAAAGCAGGGTTATATGAGACACCAGTGCCCATCTTGAACAGCATTCTGTCTCTCATTAGTTTGCACTATGGGACTGCTTCTGGGTGTAAAATAGATTATTTTGGGATTGAGTACAGCCAGAGACTTGCTCAGGAGTTTAGCTGGCTTGCTGCAACCGCTGTTGGGTATTCATTCCATGCTGCTTGCTCG